GGAGGATCGATAAGTATCATTGATATTTACCGATCCTCTGTGCAGCACAAACACCGGAGTGATCGCGTGATCACTCCGGTGTTTGTAAATAACTGGGGACACATAGGGGGTTATTCACAAAGCTGCCGAAGGCAGCCGTGTGAATAACCAACACGAAGTGAAGTGAGCCGAACGCCGTTTGGCTATTCACTTCAGGCTTGTACAGCTGATTTCAGCCGTACACCGACTGAAATCAGCCGTACAACGGCTTGCTGCAGCTGGGGTTGGGTCGGCCGAAGTGCAGAAGGAGTTTGACTCAGCTAATCCAACATCTGGATCGGCTTAGCCGAACCTCCGGCAGGCTACTCGTTGCTGTTCGGCCTATTCTCATAGGGCCCAAACAGCAGTGAGTGAATAGCCGAATGCCGGAGAGCGCCCTTCGGCTCAGCTATTCTATTCTGCTCAGTTCCTCTGTGGTACCGAGCAGAATAGAAAAAGTAGAGAAAAATGAGAAAATGATTGGGCGGAGCTAGCAGTGACAGCTAGCTCCGCCAAACTTTTTCTATTGCACGGGACCAGTTGTCATTAAAATGAGAGCTTGTCGGAACCGGCGGTCATATCAAAGCCGGCTCCGACAAGCTCTCATGACAGTCCAGGGTGCCTGGTTACTAGGTAACCAGGAGATGCTGAACTGTCATTGCACACTGAGAACCTGGCGGAGCCGCTGGGATATAATGGCGGTTTCGCCAGGTTCTCGGTGTGTAATGGCAGTCCAGCGTCCCCTGGTTACTAGTAACCAGGAGATGCTGAACTGTCATTACCCACTGTCGTTACCCCCGGTTGACAGCCGCGCCGGGAGCGGGGGGCCCCGTCCCCCCTCCCCGACCCACTTCCCCAGGGGGAGGGGGCGGGATGGTTCAACAGGGGGAGAGCGCGGAGGCAGTCGTCTCCCTCGGCCCCGGCCACAGCGAACGCTCTTGCCGGGGGGCTGTAACGCCGGTCGGGCTGGAGCGGGGCGAGCCCCCCTCCCGTTTCGCCCGGCAACCTTCCCCCCTGGGCCTTCCCAGCCGGCCCAGAGCCGGTCACGGTGCACCGCCGCGGAGGAAATGCGCCCTGCGGGGGCTGGGCCCTCCGACAGGCCCGCGGCGGACAACCCTGGCCCGCCGGGTTGAATCCTCCGGGCGGACCGCACGGACCCCACCCATTTACCTCTTAACCCTTTCGCTACCAAGGACGTATGGCATACGGACCTACAAAAGTGCTTCCAG